GCTGTCTTTTGCAAACACATTTTCTGAATTAGCCTAATAATCCTATGTTGAAACTTGAAAGTCTTCTTATTAAGTTCATACTGATTTGCAAAGGGAAGTGATCAGAAAGTAAACCTCATGGCATGAGGTCCTTGAAACATACACACAAAGCATTAAGGTCTGTGCTCGTGAAACTGGGTTCAGTAGGGAGACAGTTACAGAAAGGAGAGGAAGGTGTTGAAACAGACGCAAGAGCAAGAAACACAGTTTGCAGGGTGGGCAAACTTTCTGTAAAAGGGAAGAAGTTAAGTATTTTAGGCTTTACAGGCCATATGGTCTCAGCGGCAGTTACTCAGTGCTGCCGCTGTCCTGTGAAAGCAGTCACAGACAGTGTCAACAAACCAAATTTTATATACAGACACTGAAACTTAAATCTCATGAACTATTATGATTCTTTTGTTTCCAAAATGTAAAGTGTTTAAAATGTAATTTAAAATTAAAATTAAGTATTTAAAAATGTAAAACTCATTATTTGAAGGCCGCAGACAACCAGGTTGGATTTAGTCTGCAGGCTATTTAGGCCCAAAGATGATTATTGAATGGTTTACTGGAATAATTTGGTAATACTTCAGCAGATTTTACGGTGTTATTCAGTTGGACTTCAAGCCTCTTATATAGCACCTCCTTTCGGTTATTTCACATTATAACTAGAGTTTCAAGAGACGCAGGGGATATCTTCCCCTCTATTGAGTGGTACTTGCAATGCTGGAGACATGCAGGAGAGGTAACACCCAGAGGACGTTGACCTCATTTACATAATATTAAGTGGCAATGTATTTAAATAGGAATGTAAATTAGACATTACACTCAGGTCTAGAAAACAGAGATCAGCAATTACCTGCTCTGATTTAGGCAGTACAAATGCCAAACTGGTTAATTCTGGTTAAAGACAATTTGCTGGTTTAAATCCTTGGAGTTGATAAAGAAAACGTTTGCTGAGCTTTGAACAGCTGCTGATATGATTTGGGTCTATGACCCCACCCAAATCTCATGCCGAATTGTAATCCCTGGTGTTGGAGGAGGGGCCTGGTGGGAGGTGATTGAATCATGGGGACGGATTTCCCCCTGGCTGTTCTCGTGATAGTGAGTGAGTTCTCACAGGATCTGGCTGTTTAAAACTGTGTGGCACCTCCTCCTTTACTCTCTCTCCGTCTGTGGCCATTTAAGAATTTAAGATGTGACTCTTTCCTCTTCACCTTCTGCCATATCGTAAGTTTCCTGAGGCTTCCCCAGTCATACTTCCTGTACAGCCTGTGGAACTGTGAGTCAATTAAACCTCTTTTCTTTATAAATTACCAAGTCTCAGGTAGTTCTTTATAGCAATGCAAGAACAGACTAACACAAGTGCATAGTGATTTGCTGACTGCATGACCCGAAGCCTAGAGGATGTGGGAGTTTGTAAAAAGGCAGAGTAAAGGGGCCAGAATGAACAGAGCTGAACCCTTTGCAGTGAATGACTCAATAGTACCATTTGGACGCAACCAAACAGATTTGGTGAGTCAACCCACTTCCTAAAAGCCACCAGAGCAGTTGGCTTGCCAAGGGATCCCGAGTAACTGACCACCCCTAAATGTGACAAGCCCGGGACCTGCCTAGACTGACCAGTCTGTTTCCTTGAGACACTTTGTGAGTTTTATCTCTATGAGACCCTTGCTTTGCTGTGGAGCTGTCTTCACAGTGACAGCACCCTGGAGTGTGTCCATACACAAGAAAATCCTTACTTAGCACCCTCTGTCCACCTGCAGAATCTCAGACCCTACTCCTGGCTACCTGAACCAGAATCTACACTTTTCAACAAGATCCTGGGTTGATTCACATGCACATTAAAGTTTGAGAAGCACTGAGGTACATCCTCAAAAGACGATGGTTCTCAAACTTGAACTGGCATCACTCATTAAAATGTACATCTCTGGGCCTCACCCCCAGAGTCAGGACACCTCCGGTGTGGCTGGAGATTGTGCATTTCTAAATACCCAGATGCTGCCGATGCTGCTGGACTGGGACCACATTTCAAAAACTGCTCTTCAAACTGTGAGTTGTTTTCCAAGAAGTTAATCTGAAGGCTTCATCCCACAGAGCCTATTCCATGTTAAATTGGGCTTTCCCAGCCTTACCTGGTGATAGATGCAACTTAACATTTGTCTTGACCGGGTGCTGTGGCTCATATGTGTAATCCCATCGCTTTGGGAGGCCAAGGTGGGTGGATTGCCTGAGCTCAGGAGTTCAAGACCAGCCTGGGCAACGTGGTGAAATCCTGTCTCTACCAAAAATACAAGAAATTAGCCGGGCGTGGTGGTGCATGCCTGTGTTCCCAGCTACTCAGGAGGCTAAGGCAGGAGGATCACTCAAGCCTGGGAAGCAGAGGTTGCAATGAGCCAGCACATGCTACTGTACTCCAACCTAGGTGACAGAGTGAGCACCCATCTCAAAACAAACAAAAAATTCATCCTGTCATCTTTAATTTTCCTTTATCAGAAGAATTAATCTATTTGCCTTACTTTCCTTTGCTGACATGATTTTCCTCCCTCAAAAAAGAAATGAAAGTGGAATCATTCTTTCGCTTCAAAAAGTTATTACTGCTCCCTTTAAAAATATTACTATGAGCTAGACAAGTTTTTTAAAAATACATTTCAATTTAATCATGAAGTGTCCAAGACAAGAAAAAACTCTGCGAAAACCAACTCCTTATGTACCTGATGGTTTAGATTTCTTTTGGAATTGTACATCTGTTCAAAATGCGATCACATCTCCTTGTTGGAAATGTTTGGAGAAAAACCAATTTATATAAACGTTTCAATCAGTCCACGTCCATGAGAAAGTAGAAAGGGCAGGAAATGATTAAGGGGGATTATTGCTAATCTGATAAACACAGATTTGTGGCTTTCGGAGAGACAGAAGTGTCACTCTCTCCATCTCTGTACCATTCCTACCATCTGGCCGCCAAGTGGCATTGCTTGAACCCAATGTCTCTAGGGAAAATTTTCTCTTCTGATTTTGGTTCTCAGTCATGTAATTTCTGGGGCTTAAATTAGTCCTGGAGCTAGGGAAGAGGTGATGTCATTCTCCCATTGTCTCCTTCAACCACAGTTTCATTTTAAAAGAGTATTGGTAAATAAGTGGGCAGTGTGACTAGATGACGGTCTGGACTCGGTATCAGGGCTGTGTGCATGCTCAGCTGGGGGCCCTTGGTAATGTGTGATGTGATAGATACACACGGTTTGCATCCCCAGGTGTGTCTGAGCTTTGGGTTCATTTGTGTGTGAGTGTGCGTCCATCTGATGTGCTGTGTCCTCAAGCTTGTGGAGTCGTGAGTCTGTGTTTTGTGGGGTGTGGCCCAGGTGTCTGGGTCCACCGTGCAATCGGGGCTTGGGCCTGAGTGCTCAGGTGTGTTAGGGTGGATGTGACTTCTGTGGGGTGTCCCCAGGTGTGTGAAGCTGGTTGCGCTGTGTCTGCGGCGGGGCGTCTCCGGCGGGCATCGGCGTGGTGGGTCTGGCTCTTAGGCGGTCAGTTGTGTGTGCAGCCAGGTGCGGCCAGTTGTGCGTGCGGCCAGGTGTGTGCGAGGGCCCAGCATGGGCGGGCGGGCCTCGCGTCCCGCCTGCAGGGGGCGCCGCCGGGGGCGGCCTGGGAGCAGAGGCGCGGGCCCGGCCCTGCATTTCCGCCCCGGTCCGGCCCTCCCCGACGGCCCGGGTGGCGGCAGGTGAGGCGCTGAGCGCGGGCGGGGGTCGGGGCTGCGTCCGCTCCGCCTCCCGGGCGGGGTGTCCTGAGCCCCGCGGGAACTTGGGGCGCCGCTCCCTGCGCGGCGTCTGGGCCGAGGCCGCAGCACCCGGCGTCCCCGGGGGTGAGGGAGGAAGCCTGGGGCGCCGCCGGCGAGGCCAGCCGGAGGGAGGGAACGGTGGACCCCGAAACGCGTCCTCCATTGCCTCGCGCGGGGGCTATGGGCGCGATTGCCAGAACGGGCGGAGGGCGGTAAAAGCCAGGAACCGCCTCACGCACGGACGCTGCTTCCCTGTAAAGGAAACGTGGCCGCCCACACGCTGGCTTTCAGAGGACCTCGGCTGAACCAGGCTAACGCTTCTCAGAAATTGTTCTTAAAGATTTCCCGTTTGTAAGGAGACTGGAAGCAGCAAAAGAAATCTAAAAACGTCTCCTGGCACTTGTGAATTTCTGATCTAAGGTTTCTTTGGAGCCGTTAGTGAAAATTCTGAAATTTTGAAGAAATTTATTAACTTGATTATTAATTATGGTTATCATTGCTATTTTACTCTGTGGGCCAAGGAGAACGCCATAGGCTCAAAAGCCGACTTAAGTGTTTTTGGAACACAGCTTCTTAACTCCACGCTTAGTTGATTCATATTGAAGTGATAAGAAAATGTACTAGATTTCTGGCCTTTTTTGTTGTTGTTTGGGATGGAGTCTTGCCCTGTCGCCCAGGCAGGAGTGCAGTGGCGCGCTCTCGGCTCACTGCAGCCTCTGCCTCCCGGGTTGAAGCGATTCTCCTGCCTCAGCCTCCCGAGTAGCTGGGATTACAGGCGCCTGCAACCACGCCCAGCTATTTTTGTGTTTTTAATAGAGACGGGGTTTCACCATGTTGGCCAGGCTGGTCTCGAACTCCTGTCCTCGTGATCCGCCCGCCTTGGCCTCCCAAAGTGTTGGGATTACAGGCGTGAGCCACCGCACCCGGAATTTGTGGCCTTTTTTAAAAGCATGTGATTTATTTTGCTAAATGTCCCAGGAAAAATGATTAATGAAAAACTACAGGTGACCTATATAAAGTGTAGGTCTTCACACACGTACGTGTCCTTATGTACATTTACCTGTAAATGAAGACGACTTTTCCCTGGCCTCATTCAGTTTATCGAAATGCTCAGATGAGGAGCACCTGCAGTTTGCCCGTATTTTCCCAAAAGGCCTTGTTTGCCTGCAACTATTCCCAGGAGAAGCCAGACTTTGCTCCGTAAGCAAACCACTGTGCTCTCGCAGAGATTTGTACTGTAAAAGCTGAGTTTGCAAAGTTAAATTAATTTCGAATTGGTGGATTTTTGTATGGAAATACTTTGGGCTAGTTGACTTTACTAACCAGGACCTGCCTACTACTAGTCAGGAGAGGGTGGTGGTTTGTGGTTCTCTGGATAGTGGGTAGCCGTAAGTAGAACAGAAGAGGGATTTTAAAATGATCTGTTCATTTTTCTCTTTACTAGTAAGATTTCCAATCTGTGTCCATTCTTGAAGTGAAGTCATTGGGTGGCTTTGTACCCACCTGGAGCCAGGGCCCTTACCAGGGATTAGGGCACCGGCAGACTGGTGTGGAGGCGTAGTGCAGGCGTGCTTGAAGAGGGACAGGACCCAAGGAAGGGTGACAATAAGAAGACAAAAACACGAAATATTCGCAGCCCTCTTTAGAACATCCTCCATCTAGGCAAAATCTATTAGGAATTTTAAGAAGCTTCAATTAAACATTAGTGCTCGGTGTCCTGCTGAACAGGAATTCATTCTTCAGTCGAAGCTCTATTGTCAGTAAAACTACTCAGGATAAGGCAGCCGTGTTTAGGCTGTGAGGAGCTGCCCCTGGACTGCGGAGCTTGCTCCGTAAAAGGCGTCTTGATACCCCCTCAAATGGATTTACAGAAAAGACTCAGCTGTTGGAAGTCTCTGGGATTGTATGGCATCATGAGGTAACAGACCTGGTAAATAGCTAGAACGTAGAGAAGAATGAAACCAGAGGCAGTGTGCTGTTGGAGCTGAGAGGTGAGTGCTCACTGGAGGGCCAGAAGAAGGTCACAGTTGGACAGACCTTAAGCACAGAGTGGATTTTTATAGGCAGAAGAGTGGAAAGGGTGGCCGACACCATGAGCAAAAATAAGAAGCTGAAGATGACAGTGTGTTCAGAGAAAGGCAAACAGCTGGCGTGCTGAGCCTGGACTGCGCGTGAAGAGGGGTGGGGTGGGGGTGCCTGGAAAGCAAGGCTCTCTGGTGATAACCTCTACTTTTCAATCAAGGTTCTGATTTTTTTTTTTTTTTTTTTGCTTGTTTATTGGGAAAATTTTAAGCAAACATGAAAGCACCGCAAAGTAGTAGAATGAATTTCCATATATCCATCAAATGGACTTCACAAGTCTCGTTTGGCCATATCCACTTCATCTTTTTTTTTCTTTTTTTGGTTGTGGCTGAAGCAGTTTAAAGCAATTTATTCCAGACAACATAACATTTCACCCCTAAATTGTTCAGCATGCTTCTCCAGAGAAAGGGCATTTGCTTGTGTAACCATAATACAATTATCACCTCCTGATGAAATTGACAATAATTCCTTAATATTTTCTAAAACCTAGCCTATGATCAAATTTACCTGATCACCTCAAAAATTAACTTAGTTTTACTGTTGGTTTGTTTGAATCCAAATCCAGACAAGAATTTGTTGACTATCTGTTATCTTTTTATTTTTTGAGACAGGATCCAGCTCTGTTGAGATCATGGCTCACTGTAACCTCAAACTCCTGGATTCAAGCCATCGTCTCACCTCAGCCTCCTGAGTAGTTGGGATTACAGGCATGTGCCACAACACCCAGCTAATTTTTTTTTTTTTTTTAATAGAGATAGGTATTGCCCAGGCTGGTTGGTTGTTCCCCTCACCCGCAATGGAGTCTCATTGACTTTTGTCACCCAGGCTGGAGTGCAGTGGCACAATCTTGGCTCACTGCAACCTCTGCCTTCTGGGTTCAAGCGATTCTCCTGCCTCAGCCTCCCAAGTAGCTGGGATTACAGGTGTATGCCACCACGCCCAGCTACTTTTTTTGTATTTTTAGTAGAGACGGGGTTTCACCATGTTGGCCAGGCTGGTCTTGAACTCCTGAACTCAAGTGATCCACCTGCCTCGGCCTCCCAAAGTGCTGCGATTACAGACGTAAGCTACCATGCCCAGCTGTTGTCTCTTTCAGTCTAGGGCAGGGGTGGCAGATTTCTCTGTGAAGGGCCAGATACCAGCTCTTTCAGGCTTTGCAGGCCCTATGGTCTCTGCCGTAACTGCTCAGCTCTGCCATTGTCATGCAGAAGTAGCCAGGGGTGATAGTAAATGGATAAGCGTGGCTGTGTTCCAATAATACTTAATTTCCAAAACCTTTGTGTTTTAAAATCCACCCACAGGCTGGACTGACCCGCAGTCTGTGGTTTGTCGACCCAGGTCTAGAGCAGCCTTGGCGGGTTTCTTTAATGCCAATGACTGTCGATGTTGCTTGGTTGACTGCCTGTAGAGTGCCTCACGTTCTGGATCTGGTGGGCTGCTTTTGGTGGAGTATGATTTGGCTTACTTCTCTATCCCCTATATTTCCTGTAAACTAGAAGTTAGAGCTAGAGGCTTAATTAGGTTCATGCTCGCCATTTTTGGCAAGTCTACTTCAGAAGTGGTTTGACTTTTTTAAAATCTAAATTTATCTGACTTTAAAGACTTGGAAACCCTCATCAAAGAAGCTCAACATTACCAAAATAGGAGCTCAGCATTACTAAAATCGGCTTGCCTGATGGCTGAGAATACATTTTTTCTCTTTTTCTTTTTACTTTTCTTACTTGTGGGAGAGTATATAGAGCTGTTACTTCTCAGAGTTCTTTCTTGATTAATTTTTGTGGGTACCTAGTAGTAGGTGTATATGAGATAGAATGTGTAATAACCCTCATTACAGGGTATATGAGATACAATGTGTAATAATCACATAAATAATCAGGGTAAATGCGGTTTCCATCACTTCAAGCATTTATCTTTTGTGTTACAATCTAATGATACTCTTTTAGTTATTTTTAAATGTACAATTACATTATTACTGACTATAGTCACCCTATTGTGCTATCAAATACTAGATCTTATTCCTACTTTCTATGTTTCTGTACCCATTAACCATCTCTACTTTCCCCCAACCCCCCTACTACCCTTCCTAGCCTCTAGTAACCATCATTCTGATCTCTATCTCAGTGAATTCAATTGTTTTAATTTTTGGCTCCCACAAATGAGTAAGAACATGCAAAGTTTGTCTTTATGTGCCTACCTGGGTTATTTCACTTCACATAATGACCTCCAGCTCCACCATATTGTTGCAAACGACAGGATCTCCTTTTTAATGGCTGAATAGTACTCCATTACATATGTGTGCCACATTTTGTCAAGGAGGTCTTGAGAACTTTGAACCCTTTCTCTAGGTCACTGGAAGGTGCCTGTATTCAAGGCATTCTTTGGCCCCTCAAGCATGTGAACTACATTTTTGCACTGAACAAAAATATATTCCTTCCTTGGGCATATGCCCAGGGTCTCAGATTGCCTTCTAATGGGAGTTACGTCATTTATGTTTGTTTTTAAGCCCCTTATTGCTTAAATGTTTAATTTTCTTCAGTTGACTTCCTCTTATCTTACCTCCCAACAGGACCGAAAACTGGATATTTGGTCCCCGTGGACTTTCTGGTCACCCTATGAGGTAGATTTACTTTGTCTTGAGTCATGTGGAAGGACTCTGAAGTCACAAGTTTTTAAGACTCTCAGGCTTACTGTGGATCTGGATTCTAAGGCAACACTTCCTTGAAGAAACAAGCTTACAGGTGAGAACTCTTAGCCTCTGTTCTAGAGTGTTCATTGCTCAAGTTCTAGAGTACCACAAGAAGTATGCTGACAAATAGTGTCATTTGGAAGCCCTTGTCTCTTTGTCATTTAAGAATAGTGGTGGGGGGCCAGGTATGGTGGCTCATACTGTAATTCCAGCAGTTTAGGAGGCTGAGGCAGGAGGATTGTTTGATCCCAGGAGACTGAGGCTGCAGTGAGCTGTGATTACACTGATTATGCCACTGTGCTCCAGCCTGGGCAACAGAGTTGAGACCCTGTCTCAAAAAATTAAAGGGGGAGGGAAGGGAAGAATAGTAGAGAAACTGTATGTTCATTTCTGCATCTATTTTTCTTTGGGGTGTGTGGTCTTTTGACTTATAAGAATTATATATTGAGAATACGAATCTTTTGTCATATATACTATAACTATTTCCACCCTATTTTTTTATACTTTGTGTAATACAATCTCTAGGCTTTGCAAAAAATTTTAATTTTATGTAGTTAAAATATCGATCTCCCCTTTACAGTGTCTTTGTTTTGTGTTTTGCTTAGAAAGACCTGCCCATTTTAAGGTTTCTTTTTAAAATTCATGTTGACACAGATAAATGAAAATGTAATGAGAGCTGGGAACATGTGATTCTGAAAAAGACTATTGAAGGGGGAGTATTTCCAGACAATATAATACCAAACTAATGTTGGCATTAAGACTGGTCCTATGTTGCTAAGTGTTGAAGTTGGGCGATGAGTATTTGAGAGCTCCTTCTATCATTACCCTAGTTTTGTACATATTTTACTTTCCATAACAGAGTTTTTTTTAATTTTATTTTTATTTTTTTACCAAGAATAGCAGGGGGAAATTGTATCTTTGTCCCATTCATTCATACTCAGCAGCTATTTATTAAGCTGTTCTGAACACTGGAGGGTATCATGTTAATAAATGAAAAAGGTATTGAAATTTCTGTTATGTGGGAGACAAATATTAGCATCATGGTTAAGGGCACCAACTTCTGTGTCAGACCGCCTGGCTTCTCGTCCTCCCACTGCCACTTACTAGCTGGGTGATTTTGGACTTTTTAATTAAAAAGATGTGTATAATAACAGCTGTCTGGAGGCTCTAGGGAGAATCTGTTTTCTTGCTTTTTGTAGCTGCTAGAGGCCACCTGCATTCCTTGGCTTATTGGCCCTTTCCTCATATTCCAAGCTAACAACATTGCCCTTCTCTGGCCCTGCTTTTGTCATCACATCTGTCTGATCTGATCCAGGACAGGTTTTCCAGTTTTAAGGATTCCTCATTTGATTAGATTGGGCCCACTTGGATAATCCAGATTAATCTCTGCATTTCAAGGTTCTTATATCTGTGAAGTCCCTTTTGGCATAGGAGGTAACATATTCATAGGTTCCAGGGATTAGGATGTGAACACCTTTGGGTGGCCATTATTCTGCCAACCACAGATTTGAGGAGACAAAAGAAAGTGAATGTGATTGAGTCCTTGGCAGGGAGGAGATGGGACTGGAGAGGGAGCCAGGCAGAGAGGATTCAGTAGGTCATCATACCTTTTGAAGTTCCTCCCAACAGTAAGAGGAAGTTATGGTCAGATTTATTCCCTCAAATCTGGAATCAGCTGTTTCTCCAAGGAGCCCTAGTTAGCTGTTTTAAAGTGAAAAATGATACTTAAAGACAGTAATCTGGACCTAACAGGGTGCTCATTACTGTTGGATTGGCAGTTGTTTTTAAGCCATTTCAACAGACAGACAGGGAAAACCATTGTTCAAGATAAAATATTTCATGAGTGCATACTGGTAACATCCAAGTCTGTTTCTGGACTGCAGCGTTTTTGCTTAATGTCATAGAACTTATATCCATACCCCTTTCTTCCACTCCAGAAATCTCAGTTCACAGCAACCCAGTGTAATTGATGATTTGCTTTAGCCCTCACTCCACGGAGTCAGTGCCACAGGGGTGTGGGGATTGGGAGGAAGACCACGGAGGTAAAGTGTCATTTTTGTTACATCGTATCAAGCCTACATACCGTCTACAAGACTTCTCTCTTTTGCTGTTGACCTTGCTTACCTGACTGAAATAGTGATTGGCAGGTTTCTCCACTGTAAAGTCACACTTTCCCCCTCCCTTCATACTGTGCTCTGAAAGGAAGTCATAGTGAGCAGCCTGCACTTCTGGAGGGAAGAGTTATTTAGACTTCATCTCCTTAAGGGGAAAGTATCTACATATGTTATTTGGAATTCTTCCGTGTAGGAGGTTTATCTGTTTTCTTGCATTTATTTACTCAGTCATTTATATCATTATGGACTCACAGACACTTACTTTATACTTTAGGTTCTAATCCAGTACTCCTTATTTTGTTCTCCAGTTGTTCCTGCTTTGGTCATTGGTAGCCTGTTCTGTCGTCTCTTGTGTCCCTTTGACTTGCCCCATCATTCTGGGCTGGTGGGTTTGTTTATTTTTGAGCACTTGCTTGCTTTCCGATATTGCTAGATGTCCTAGATTCTTCTTGTGTATTTCCTGCTCCGGTCTTAGGTTCAGCCGTTTCTCTAGGGAACCCTGGTCCCCTCTGTTGGAGATGTTGTTAGAAACCACAAGCTGGATGCTGGTGTGCTTATTTAGACTGCAGTGGCATTGCTTTTAGGTCCTCTCAGCTGATGGAGCAAGGAAATGTCTGTGTGTACTGACCTGTGTGTATACACGTATCAGTAAATACTTCTGTATGGAACCAGCTGTTTCTGTGAGTCCACACTGGTGTCTCCAGCCCTAATCCTTTACCCCATGGATCACTCTCGCCTTTTCCCTGCTGTCTCTCACCTCCCACTCCAACAGTGAGAAACCTGGCTCCCATCGCCTGTGGCTCATTTGCCTACTTTTCAGTACATACGTGTGTATGACAGCACTGGAATTGCCATCTCGCCCTATGGGAACCACTGAATCAATGAGAGCCTGGTTTTTATTAATATATACAGTTCCTTTTGCCTTTAGTCTTCTAACTGTGGACTGGGCCAACAGGTGAAACAGTTTGTTTGGGCAGGCTGAATGAGATCCTGCTACCTTGAGAACATCTTACCAGTCAGATCTACAGGGTGCAGATTCCATGGCTTCCCCCTGGCAGTTCTTCCATCACTTGGCTATTTTACTCCGCCTGAGCCAAGGCAGGCTTTGCTATCCCGACTTGACACAGAAGAGTTCCTTAGTAACTGTGTTCATTTGCTAGGGCTTCCATAGCAAATTACCACAGACTGGGAAGCTTAAGACAACAAAAATTTATTCTCGGCTCACAGAATCCAAAACCAGAATTCCAGGTGCTGTCAAGGCTGCCCTCCCTCCAAAGGCTGTATGGAAAGTCCTTCCCTACATTTTTCAGCTTCTGGTGGCTCCAGGTGTTCCCCGGCAAGTGGCCGCACAGCTCCCGGTTCTGCTCTGTCTTCACATGGCCCCTCCTCGGTGTCTGTCTTCTCTCCTGTCCCTCATAAGGATATCTGCCATGGGATTCGGGGCCCATGTAGGCTGCCCAGGATGATCTCATCTCAACTTCCCTAATTAATCGCATGTGCAAAGTCCCTTTGCCGTGTGAAGTGCCATAGTCAAAGGTTCCAGGGATTAGGGCATGGGGATGTTTGCGGGAGACCTTTGTTCTGTCAGCCTCACTTTGTGATGCTGCAGCCATCGCAGGATCAGAGCAGATCCCAAGGCATTTTTGGCAGAGTAAGACCAGGTGCCAATCCCCGAGGTGTGTTTCTGCTGCTCTTACACACCGAGGCAGTGCCATCAGGTCGAGACCCAGCAGGCCCCTCCTTCCTCAGCGCTGAAGGGAGGGGGCTTTGGGCTGACAGGAGACATAGGTTCCGTGCGTGAATTCCATCAGCAGAACGGTGCTCAGAACCTTCTTTGATTCACTCTGTAGGGGCAGAAAGGGGGTGATCCCTCTCTACCCCATCGTAAGGGTCGTGGCTGACACCCCTATGCCAAACATTAACAATAGAAAAGCAAAACACGTGTTCAGTCATAGTTTTACATGACACAGGAGCTTTCAGAATGAAGACCAGAGACCCAGGGTGAATCCTCCAGATTGTGCTTAGATTTGAAGAAGCACAGACCGCCATGTGGAAATCCAGTTGGAAAAAAGGGTGTGAGCCGATGGAAATAGACCGAGTGGGGAAGCCCAGCAAGGCCTGTCTCCAGGTTCTTCTTGGCCTCTCTGTTGTAGCATTTCTTCCTTCCAGGAAGGGCGCAGGATCCTCTTGTCCAAGGTCTTTTTGGCCAGCTGTTACACGGAAAGGCGTGGGGAAGGCGAGAGCAGTATTTTTAGGTTTTATGGCTAGCTTTGGGGAAAGGGGTTCTGGTTCCTGTCACCTGCATTGGGGAAGAGAAATTCTGGATCCTATAGTTTGCCTTGCGGAAGGATGAGAGGGGCAAGACGCGCAGGAGAAAGTCGGAGAGACTGAGCTGCTGAGCCCCACAACTCCTAGGCCCTCCCCTCCCGACAGCTGCCGGCACTCCTGCCTCCACACCCTGGGGGTGGTTTTGCTGCAACTGCTCTTTTATCTGAATTTCATGTTATTTTGTCTTGCATAATTGTTTTTGGATACTAGCCTAAACACTGCTGGGCTGTGAGCTCTGATTGGGTAAGAAACATGCCTTCCTCATTCGGAGTCCGCCATCATGCCTTCCACATAGTGGGGACCCAGTAAGAAAGAACTCACTTCCAGTTAGTCGAGAGTGTTTTTACAGAACTCATGTTCTGAGTCAGGCCAGAGTAAATTAGAGTAAGGAAGAGTATATGCGGGAATACTCCTCATATTATGCTGTGTTCTTGTCCATTTTTCAAACGACCACATTTACTTTTCAAGCTTTTGAGTGTTAATTACCTCTTCCTGCTGTTGTCATCTGTACTTGGGAGTATGAAGAGGTAAGTTTAATGAAAATTAATATTTTTACATCTCATGATGGTTTTATTAACTTACCAGCATTAAATGAGGTTTGAAAAGTGTT